CAGAACTTTTTCATTCTTTTTCAATGTCACAAATCCCCTTCTTTTCTGTCTGTCTTTTGTCTGGCTTTGGCTTCTTTGTCAGTTTCTTTCCCCCGTGAGAATTTTGTTTAAAAATGTGTGCCTAAAGTTAAGTTCCCCTGAAGTTAGTTTTGTAACATTTGAACTTCTAGATCACTTTGGGGCAGGTTTTCCAAAGTATTTAGATTATGAAAACTGCAGATGGAAGCATAGTGGGATTTTCAAAAGCACTTAAACAGATAAGGCACTTAGCTGCCATTTAAATTAATTAGCTGGATTGAACAAGTTCCCCTTGGCACTTTTGAAAGTTCCACTGCTAAGTGTTTATGTCTACATTAAAAAATCTGATTTTCAAAAGAGGCTGAGCATCCAGCAACTCCCTTTAAAGTTTATGACTATTACATGTTTTCAGTGATTCTGAAAATTATACAGTGTCCCTGGCTCTATATTCCCAAATGATCCTCCTTTGCTTTCTTGTTTCTTAACAGTTTCTACTATCATTTATTTTCTAAAGTTAGTCTCAGAGAAGTGAGATCAATAGTACTACAACCTAAGGATAGAAAAATAATGACACGGGTGAATCTTCTGCAAGGGTTCGAGAAGCCGGGTTCTTTGGTACATACATTCAGTGACTGAAAAAACTGATAGGGCTTTAAGACCATCATTGTAATTATTCCTTGTACTGGATTTCCTTAATACATTCATATTAAGCAAAATAATAGCTCAAAAATACATTACAGGGAAAGACTGCTGCAGGTTATGGATAGCTGGGAATGAACCAGATGACCAGAAGTAGCATGACTTTTCAGTCCTTAATTGCTTCTCTACAGAAATCCTTAGCAGACCTGTTTGGATGTAATAAAAGCAAGCAGTGCTCGCTCTGAGGTATATTTTTCCCTGCCCTTTACTCTGCCTCTATTACAGTAGTGTCTAAGTAGCAGTCTGAGGGCGTACACAAATTAGCATTTTGGTTTCAATCAAGAGTCTGCTTTTGAAATGAATCTGCTAATTATTCCCACTTAGCACACTTGCTCATTGTGGAGTGGGTCTCAGGCTATGTGAACTGGATTGCTTTTGGCTGAAATGAAAACAGAAGATGCTTTCCAGAAGGACATCTAATCTTCTTTGATCATTACTGGGTGTTCCGTCCACTGAACTATATTAAACTTTCCTTCCCAGACTCTAATTTCAAATACTGACCAATGTGAACATGAAGTCCTAAGAGCCCACATCTTTGCTCCACAGATTGGCTCTTACTATGCCGCATTGCTTGTTAATGTAGCTATACACCGAGTTGTCAGGACGGTGGGGTTCATGGGAGAATCCCATCTTTGCACCCACTTCTGGAGTTAATATCCTACAATGCCAGAATTTTCTCAGATCTGCAAGTGTCTTAAAGGGGATCTCTCATTTCAGACACTGGCCAATGTTTCTTGAGAATATATTGTCTCTTTCCTGTTAGACAGAAAATGAAATAAAAAACTCATGAGCAAGAACTCATAACATTTTTGTTAAGAACTTTTTTCAGAAATGTAGGTCAACCTAAATGTAACTGTAGGCTTTGCCTAAAAAAAGTAATCCAGACAAGACAGATTGTAAGACATAACTTGTATACCTTGTTGTCATGGTTTAGCTCCAGCCAGCAGCTGAGCACCACGAAGCCGCTCACTCCCTCCCCCCCCTCCTCCTTACCCCTCGCCCCCAGTGGGATGGGGAGAAGAATGGGAAGGAAAGGGCAAGACCTGGTGGGCTGGTATAAGGACAGTTTACTAGGATAGCAAAGGGAGAAGGGAAGACAAAACAAAACAAAACAGTACTTAACAGAGTATACGAAACTGGTGATACAGAATGCAGTTTCTCACCCAAGGACCGTACAACTCAGACCACATGCTCAGACCTGTCCCGAAACCGGACTGTCCCCGAGCCACGCGTCCTGGAGCTGCTGCCGCCCCTCCCCGGCTAGCCCCCCTTTTATGCTGCGCATGACATCCTATGGCATGGCATGTCAGTTTGGGTCACCTGTCCTGTCTGTGTCTCCTCCCAACTTCTTGTGCACCCCCAGCCATCCCGCTGGCAGGGCAGTGCGAGAAAGAGAAAAGGCCTTGGCCCCGTGTAAACACTGCTCAACAATAGGTCCATAGAACAAAAACATCTCTATATTATCAATGCTGTCTCCAGCACAAATCCAAAACATAGCCCCATACTAGCTACTGTGAAGAAAATGAACCCTCTCAGCTGAAACCAGGACACTTGTAAAATGCACCATTCATTCTGGTTATTGATATAGAATTTTTTTATGCTTTAAGAGTCCATTCTTGTTTGAATTGTTCCATCGCTAACAGCTAATAGTGCTTATATTCATAATTAATTTTTAAAAAAAATACTCAAATTTGTTTAGCCGCTGAGTTTTCCAACATTCATAACCCTGTATTGCCATGCTGTAATTTATATCTTCTGTAGTTTATGTGTCAGATGTAGTAGAATGAAAAACATAATATGAATCTTCACCAATGACCTTCAGAAATAGGAATTTATTGTCCGTTGTTGCCAGTGGGATGTGTAACCTGAGGCACTTTAATGTATTACCAACTAGGAAGAGTTTTTAAGCATCTTTTTTAGTCAATTAAAACACTGTAGAGACAAAAGTATGTGAAATCATCAGTAGTTGTATGAAATAAAAGGATATTTTTTTTCTTTTATTAAGGTAGAAACTCTGAAAGACACAAAGGAATTCTGCGTACCTCTATATGCCGTGGATTCACAATACAGTAAATGTGGCTTTAGGACTCTTAATGCCAGATAAGAAACACTGTAGCCTCATGGTATTAAATGCTGATCTGGTATAAATTCACTTTGCTAGTTCAAATGTGTTAAAAAAATTGGACACCTTAGCTTTATCCTGTCAGGCTTTCTGCCAGATTAGATATTGCCTGTCTATGCCATTCTGAGTTTATGCTGGATCAGGCATTGTGTACTCTCCTGGTGATTCTGTATTGTGTGCTTTAATCGGGCAAATATGCAGTACTGTTCTTTTCTGAGTCATCCCAAACTTATCTACACATCTGGGTTAATGACCACGGCCTTCTGTTGCCCCCATTATCATAGTATCTGACTAAATCACAAGCTTTGATGTATTTATTCTCCTAACAACACTGTGAAGGAGAATATGTCTTTGCTATCATCACACTGATTTCATCGTAACATGTTTTCTCTCTTGTCTAGTAGATGAAACAGTAGGGGTTATGCAGGCTTGGAGAATTTCGGTGATTAAAACTAGGAGATTGCAACAGAGGTGAATATTTTCTTAGAGTGTCAAGTGCTCTGCTAGGGCTCTATCAAACCTGTTTCATGCAACTGGATTATTCTTATGGTTTTTAGGAAGCTAATTACTTAAATGATTTCCTTTTAGATAGTCACCAGATGCTGCATTTTGTGTAATTAGCACAGTACTTGATATAAACTACGGTTAAATTCTGTATGTTCAGGACCAATCCAAACCTCACTGAAGTCCTTGAGTGCCCGTGGGGATTCACGGAGCTGGCTGTAGGAGTGAGTTTCTTGTCTCCTCGTTACTGTGTGGTCCCTTGCTTGCCCCTTCGAGTGGCGAGTAACAGCGAAGTCCTACACTGAGAGGAGACAAAGAGCCTGGCTGCTTGCTTCTGCTTTACTCACCCTGCGTGGTGCTGGAACCGGTGCTCCGCTTCTCCGAGAAAGGCAAATGGGGCAGGCGATGTTACATTGTGGTGTGCTCTTAAATCTGTTGAAAAATTGCTGGAAAAATGAACCGTTAAGGCCAAAATTATCCCTCTTGATAAGCCGTCCTCATTCTGTCCTCCTCCAGAAGGAACTGAAAACATTCCTGACACGTGAAGTTTTGCTACTGCTGTTTCACTTATAAATAAAGCCTCCAAATTAAACAAAAGTGCTAAGCACTTAATAGGCAAGAACAAGGCAAGTCCTTTGTCCTTGAGTGTTTACCACCTAACAAAGGAATGAAAGGTGGAGCATGGGAGCACCACAGAGGGATTCTGGTGCCTACAAGTAGCTCTCTGCTCCAGGCGCTGCTCTGGTTCGTTCAGTGTGGCTGCTTGCAGAACACGGTTTTGCTAAGGGTGGGCTAAGGAGAGCTGGGACCAAATTGAGTGATGATTTTAAGCAGGAGATGCTTTAAATCCATGAATTGTCTATTTAGATTTTATTTGGGAGGGCATACAGGAAGAGCAGATAAGTGGATGAAAAAAAAAAAGTATATTTTGTTAATGTGCTGCTATGGAGAAGTCTGGGATTTCCAAAACAAAACTGCATGGCGTGCATTTGTTCTTGGACTTTTTAAATCAGGAGGAGTAAAGTAGTAGCCATGACATCTTTTTCTATTATTATTCAGAAAGCAGTATATACTCATTTTTATCTTCTAGAAATGTAAACAAAATACTCTTGTGCATTTCAAGGCTTAGAAAATGGAAAAGTGTAAAATATCCACCTTTGTGGAAGAGGTGGCATTATGGATCTTTTTTCTGGCACTCTTTGTTCTGCCAGACCTGATGCAAGGAGATTTTAATCTATTTCTTTACTGTACCAGAAACTCATCTGAAACTCACATAGCCTTATTTTGTAATTAAATGTTTGAGAACTACTGGTATTTATATTTGCATGTGATTAACTTTTAAAGCACTTTGTACAGGGCTTTTTGCTTTGAAACTAGCCTGGAGTCAATAAATATCTTTACAGACATCAATTTGGTCAGCAATAAAGAGGTAAATAGAAACTAATGACACTCATCAAGCCTGTGGCATGAATGATTTATTGGACACAATCATTTAACACTTTCATAAAGTCAATACAAGGGAAAGAAACAGGTTTTTTATTATGGTAAACTGTATTTGTACTGTCAGCATGCAGTGATTTATGACAAACCTGTGGCCAGGATTAGGATATTATAAATGGGGAAAAATAGAAGGCTCATTAATTTTTTATACCCACAGGTAGAAGACATGCAGTGGGCTAATAGAGAACGCACTCATCCAGCATCGGTCTGCAGCCTGCCCTGTAAAGCCGGGGAAAGAAAGAAAACCGTGAAGGGAGTGCCCTGCTGCTGGCACTGCGAACGCTGTGAGGGGTACCACTACCAGGTGGATGAGTTCAACTGTGAACTGTGCCCGATTAACAAGAGACCAAACGCCAACCGTACAGATTGCCAGCTTATCCCAATAATCAAACTGGAGTGGCATTCTCCTTGGGCCATCGTGCCCGTCTTCGTAGCTATTCTCGGTATAATTGCCACCACCTTTGTGATTGTGACGTTTGTGCGGTACAATGACACACCGATTGTCAGGGCCTCTGGACGGGAGCTCAGTTATGTGCTCTTGACTGGGATTTTTCTCTGTTACTCCATTACTTTTCTAATGATTGCGACTCCTGATACTGTGGTCTGCTCGTTTCGAAGGATCTTTTTGGGACTTGGCATGTGTTTCAGCTATGCTGCCTTGCTTACCAAAACAAACAGGATTCACAGAATATTTGAACAAGGTAAAAAATCTGTCACAGCTCCCAAATTTATTAGTCCAGCTTCCCAGCTGGTGATCACTTTCAGCCTCATATCCATGCAGCTTATTGGAGTCTTCATCTGGTTTGCTATCGATCCACCACATATCATCGTGGACTATGGAGAGCAGAGGACACTTGAACCAGAAAATGCCAGGGGAGTTCTCAAATGTGACATTTCAGATCTTTCTCTCATTTGTTCCCTTGGATACAGTATTCTCTTGATGGTCACATGCACTGTTTATGCTATTAAAACAAGAGGGGTTCCAGAGACCTTCAACGAAGCAAAACCCATTGGATTTACTATGTACACAACCTGCATAATTTGGTTAGCTTTTATTCCAATCTTTTTTGGTACAGCCCAATCAGCAGAGAAGGTAAGTGGTGATAAGTTTACAAATCAAATACTATCTTCTTTTTATTTTTGTCTTGCAATACTTGTAATGCTACAATATTTTCACTCTTACAAATGAGTAATTCTGAGTGCTAATTGCAAACAAACTCTCAGAATTCACAGATAATAAAATATATGATTCAAAAGGTAGGTTTCCTGTATTTTAATACAAGAAACTGAATGTGATTGTGGTGTGGCTGGCATAATAATGTTGACATTTTCTCAATATATCCTTAAATGACTGTTTCTTCTGAGGTTTATTATCACCCTTCAGTGATGTTCTATCCTGTTACATGAAGCACTATAAATCTTTGTTATCATCCACGGATCTGATAGAAATGGTTACATTTCAAAAGTCTAAGAAGATCAACGTACATTTGTCAAAAATAATGAAGAAGAATGCCTGGGCAGAATGGAAAGAATTACTTTTCTATCTGGTTGACACATATACTTAAAAAAAAAAAAAAAAAGGAGTGAATGAAGTGTGTGTAAAATCATATATAGCATAATTCACTAATTATTATCTCAGAGCAAAAAGAAAACATTTTCCTGATCTTTAATGAGAAAATAAATGTTGCATACTTGGATATCTGTTATTCCTTGTTGAATTGGCTTGGATCTTTCCTGATATCAGTCATGGTGAGCAGTACAAAACATATCAGACATTGAAGTCTCCTTCTCTCAGTTCTAATGGGAAGGCAGAGGTAAATGTCGACTGTGTGAGTTTTTATCCAGCTGATAATGGTGAAAAGGACGAGTTAGGCAGGAAAGAGCAATAATACCAGCATCAGTCTTCAAAACTGCAACTCTGTGAGATTGGGAACATCTTAAAAATAAGAAATTGAAGTCTTCAGTTTTTACATAAA